TATATAATTTCTATTTTAATTTATTTGAAATCGTACGATATGGTAATTAATAAATGATAAGTAAAAATGTAGGAGTAAAAGAGAAACGTCGTATTAACGTGTTCTCACTCATCAGCTGAAAACGGACGATTCACTCAAAAATACATGCGTATACGTTTCTCGTTCATCAGCGGAAAAACGAGTATTGAAAACGGACAATCTCCTCAAAAATACTCATTGCATACTTGTGTATATACTTTTAAATAATGAATTATTATATAATTTCTATTTTAATTTATTTGAAATCGTACGATATGGTAATTATAATAAATGATAAAAATGTAGGAATAAAAGAGAAACGTATTAACGTGTTCTCACTCATCAGCTGAAAACGGACGATTTACTCAAAAATACACGCGTATACGTTTCTCGTTCATCAGCGGAAAAACGAGTATTGAAAACGGACAATCTCCTCAAAAATACTCATTGCATACTTGTGTATATTAACTATCGTTCCTTCATAATACACTGCGAGTGCTTGCGAGTGCAAGAAACGAGCAAGAACGGGCTAAAAACGGGCTAAAAACGGTGAAAAATTTTTATAATCATGTAACAAAAAGTCTGAACGACTATAATTGTCTAGAATAATTACAATATCACAGTTGAATATAAGAAGAATATAAAATATGACATAATATGGTCAATTTTCTACGACTCAAGACGTACCTGGATTTTAAATATTGTCAAAAATTCTGAAAAATAATACATTTGTAACTTATACTTTGGCAGAGCAAACATTAAATTTAATTGTAGAATTTCGCCTTTTCCACTGTAAAAAATATAGTTTATTATAAAAAAAATTATTATTTCTGATGTTTTTAACATGTAAGAAACAATCAATGATAAAAATTGCCTAAAATTGTAAAAATAATATTTTTTACGGCGGAAAACGTCACCCAGTGAGAAATGATAATGGAATCGACGTCAAATCGATGTCTAATTCAGTACGTCAATTTGATAATTTCGACGTCGAATTAACATATCAATACGATTTCATTTCTCACTAGGCAAAGTCCTATAATGTACTTTATGCTGTTAAATTTTAAGATTGAATAAGACAAATGTATCTTTGATAATTTTTTTATATTTTAGAATCGGTATTCTTCTTTATTTTTAAATTGTTTAAAATTAAAATAGAATCACCATTAAAGCGTGCATTTTTAAAAGATATGTTAGAAAAAAAATTCTTTGAATAATATATAAATTAATAAGAAAAAAATCAGTGTAGCATCATGAACATTTCTCAATTGGATTCTTAGCATAGTTATGTGTTTCCGATTTTTATAGTCGGTCTTTCCTTGCAGTCCAGTATTGATATTTTAAAGAATATGTATAACGCGAGTTATACGGTATTTTCAGGTCGTGAGTCACGCTTACAATTAATGTCTGAGACAAATGTTTCATTTGATGTTTGTGCTATATCTTCTTCGAATATCGCAACATCTGACTATAAAAATGACGAACATGAAGAGCTGTATTCGGATAATAACAGTTTATGTTTGGAATGTGTCGAGGAAGACATGGAAGAGCGTAACAGTAGTACACAAAGCATTGAAACTATTGATAATCATCCAAATAATATGCATATAGATTGCAATAATATGTTGGAGTTAGGTAGTAGTGTCGGCAATGAATTTGAGCATGAAAACATTGAAGATGAGAATGATTTATCTGATAAGGAATATTTGAGTGGTACAATAATGTTTGAAGCATCCAATGTAAGTGTATGGGAGGTCTTTAACATGGTTCTAGCTTTGGCACTACGCTTTAATTTATCAGAGGAAGCAAAACATGGAGTATTTGAATTTGCACAAGTCTTAGCTGGACCAAGATTTCAGAACTTGAATATGACGAAGTATTCAATGTCAAAGCTATTTAATCCACCATAAAAATATTGTAAATATGCGCTTTATTGCCCACAGTGCTGCATTTTATTGCATGAACCTATGGAGCGGAGTGAGATAGACAAAAGAAAAAGCATGCAATGCCAAGAATGCGACAAGAAGTACAATTTATCAGTATTATCTTGCAATTACTTTTTGTCAATAGATTTAGAATATCAATTACGAACGTTATTGATGAATAAAAATATTCAACTCGAACTACGTGAGAATGCAAAACGAGCTAGAAACAAGATATTACATGTGGATAATTATAGTAACAATATAATTTCCGATGTACATGATGGCCAAAGATATCTTAACTGTCAATATATAAAAGATAAATGTCATAATAATAAATTTGTATTGACATTAAATATGAATACTGATGGAGCTCCCATATTTGAAAGCAGTAAAAATAGCATGTGGCCTGTTCAATGTATTATAAATGAATTACCTCCTAATTCTGAGATTCAAAACTATAATACTTGCAGCATTGTGGTTTCCTAGTAAAGAATCTAATGCAATGAATATGTAGCTATCTGTTTTTTTACAACAGATAAAGAACTTAATGGAAACAGGGATAACAATAGTTAATTCCAATGAAACATATACGTTCTTTTTCATGCTTTTATCAATACCTATCGACTCTGTTGCACGCCCTGTGTTACAAAATCGCATTCAATATAATGGATACTACGATGTAGTTGGTGTTATATTCAAAGCAAATATGTTACTAACTGTATGAAATATCTCATGACTAAAGAGGATCCAGCTGAACGTTCCCATGTATAATATTTGAATGACGTCGAAGATAGTTTTTTATTAGGTAGAACTATAAAAGGAGTGAAAGACAAATCGGAGCTAATAACTCTATCCTATTTCGACTGTATATGGAGATTTCTAGCCGAGTACATGCACGGCGTGCTACTAGGCGTTGTTAAACAACTATGGGAGACGTGGGTAAACAGTAAAAATTCTGTTCATTTAAAACCATCAGATAGACGTCTCGTTGATGAGCGCCTTATAGCTATTAAACCGCCTTCAAAAATCCACCGGCTTCCTAAATTATTAAAAGACAGAAGTAAATGGAAAGAACCAATCGTTTAAAAAAATTTTACAATAGTTGTAAAGCTACAGTTTTCTCTGCTAAAAACGCAGCTGATATCTATATTTACTGGAAATTAATACTTTGCTAATGAATCCACTGCGCATATGAAAAAAAAACCCGACTCATATCCGGAGACGATCTTATCGCCAGTATATATATAGCTACGTAGTTCCCAATTATAATTATTCACTATATTATTTCATTTATATTATAAAAAGAGAAATATAACTTTTCAATAATTTTCCAAACCAGTATTTTAGCAAAAGATAACATCACGAATGTTTCCATATTTATTTCCATAATTATTGTTTATTCATAATAATCACATAAAAAAATGATTTCTGAATAAATTGTAAAATTATTTAATGGTTCTATAATATTGCAAGTGATTTTTCAAATCACTTGATAAATGTATGTCCATGGACATACTCAGGATTCCAGTTAGAGGAAGAGAGGAAAAAATTGATCTTTATACAAAACTTATTAAAATATTTATATTAAAGCCAGCTTATTTTATTCGTCTCTCAGACTTCTATATATAGAAGTTTGTGACAAAGTTTCTTAAATAAGATGTGCTGCAGTAATCATGATTTATTATTGATTTGTCTCTCTTTATAAATACTATTATATATAGCATAATTAAAGACACACAATAATTTTGTGAAATATTTATTGACATATTTTATTGAAATTTTATTTACAAAAAAAAGTAAAGATGGAGATACAATAAATATTGATAAATTCAAAAATATATTTATATTATGTGTGGTATGGTAATTTTATACTATAAAAAGTTAATATTATTTATGCATGTATAGATAAATTTTTACCGTATTAAAGTAATTAATAATACAGAATAAAATTCATTCATATATACTATGTAGTCACAGTATTAAGTTTGTATTGTTATATAAATTAAATAAGTAATTTATATTGCATTTTTTATAAGAAATATATACGTTATGTGTATTGATATATTATTAAATTATATTATATAGCAAAAAATGCTTTTTGTTCTAAAAAAAATTACGCTACATAATTTACAGGTTTGCATTTTTCATTATTCTATCATATTCTTTTCATTTGTTTCATTATCGATACTGCATAATTGTATTTTTATAAAGTTTAGAATGTTTAAATATCAGAACGCTAAATGATTAATATGAAATTAGTTATATTATTGAAGTATTTCGTTAGAGACTTCGTTGCCTGGGAGTATCACATTCACGTTGTCATCGAGTTTTCGATCATTACCGACATCGGAAATTTTGCATGATGTATCCATATGGCAGGATGCTAAACAAAATATTTTTCATATACATAGTTCACTTATATAGAGGAAAGCCCCTTATTATGAGATAGGCGCCTAATATGAGATAGCGGCGTTTCTGCTAACTAATAAACGTTATCTATTGGTTCCACCATAAATTTATTGCTCTTGGATTGAAAACTATTTAGTAGGAATTATTAGATCATGCCAGTAGTCATTGTAAAAAAAGATTTTAGAATTTGGATGTCTTCAAATTTCATTGAGATGAGCCTTTAAATCTTGTTTATTATTTAATAAATAAATATTTAGCAATAAATTCTTCATATAGTAGTGATAGAGTAAGGTCGTACTAATAGAAAAAAAACGGGATATGTAGAATTGCTTGATTGCAGAAGTTAGATTTGATGATCATAAAACCGTAAGGCGTGGAAATCGTAATATGAGATACCCAGGGTATTTCTAATATGAAATAACCCATGCTGCTATGTCATAGTGAAAATTGTTGCTAAAGTATAAGTGTTATTGTACAATAACAAAAAGGATAACCGGAATGAACGTCGAGTGCCTATTTCTGCGATGCTTAATTCGAACTGTCTGAAGACGAGTTTTGAGTATAATCTATCGCATGCTCATTTTTTGTGCACGCTGGCTGTGTTTGTTTATATTTTAGAAACATTAAATGAAGTTTTTTAATTGCAATACTGATATACTTTGCATTTTATTATCAATTTCTCGGGACATCTCATATTAATTAGAAGCACAATTTTTTGACCTTGCGATTTGCTCACTTTTTACATTTCTTTAATTAAAAAAAAAATGAAATTTGAATTAAATTTTATATAACATTATCTTACAGCTTATTAAATTCCCTTCCAAATGACCTATTACTTTTTTTAATTCTGCCCATAGACTTCTAGCATTTACCCAAAATGAACTCGATATCTCATAATAGGGGCCTTTCCTCTATGTATAATGTGTTAAACAATTTTAGTTTTTGATATATACATATATGTCAAAATTTTTCAGCGCTATATGATTGATAACTTTTAATTTCTAATTGCAAAGTAATTATTTTACAATTACTACTATATCAATCTCTTTATTATATAACCAACGTTTCCTATTATAATATTTACATAACACTCTAATTCTGTTGTGGATTTTTGATGCAAACTTTATTTACCTCGATTAAAAGTGGAGTATTAAGGATATAAATTTTAAAAGATAAAATTTAAAATCCAATTTACAAGAATTTTTCAATTTACCTTGCGAGCAACAAATTCCGTTTGAAGCGCATCTTGCTGTATTTCCACGACACATTGCGTATCCAGCAATGCAGGGTCTGGTGTATAAACTTTCTTTTCTGCATCGGAATGTTTCTGGTGTTCCTATGAAGCAACCGATACTAGGGCCACAGCAAATATAGGGCCCAAAGCATTGACCCAGATGATTAGGACCACATGAAGGACACTAGGAGAATATTATAGTAAATATGAACGAATTACATATTTTGTGTATTTACTTATGACTTATGAAAATATCATTAATAATATTTATGTGAATATTTTACTAGGAAATAAATAGAAAAAATTTCAAGATTTATATATATAAAAACATCAAGATATATTTTGTTTCGTTATATAAAGAAAACTTGTTTGTAACAAATTTTTTTTGTTTCCTTTATCATATATTTCCACAGATAAACATCTTCTAATTGTCAGATTAATTGTTAAATAATTTAAACAATTGTTAATCAATTAAAATTAAACCTCGAGATTTTTTGTACTTCTGAGATTTTGTTACAATCATGCATTCCGTTATTCATTGCAAATACTGAAAATCTATAGTATACAACTATACGTAATGTGAATTAGATTTTCAATACCCGCAGTGAATAACGGAACACAGATATTTGTTTCTAAGATTAGTATAATTTATTTCTATAATATTATAAATTCTCTATTGATCATCTTTAAATTTTTTTTAAAACAGATCGTCAAAATTTTACCAGAGCAAATAAAAATAAATACATTCTTGAATTAATGTAATTATTAAAATCATTGTAAATAGAAAAGAACAACATAAATAATAGAAGAGCAATATACAAGATAAATAAATTCTAATTATTTAATTTTTAATAACACGTTTAATTGAGTAAAAGCTAAAGTATTTATAAAATAAAATTTATTTGCAAGAAGATGGTTAAAATCGAAAGAATTTTACTGTAAAGATAAAAATATAATGTAGTATAACATATAACGTACTTCTCGAATAACAGTTTTAAAAGAAGATGCTATATCACTCCTCTTTCCGCCACGAGGACAATTCGTAATCAAACAAGCATAACTCAGAAAAATCAAACTCGCAAAAACAATCAGTTCCTTTAACATCTTGAAGAGATTTTAGCGATGTTGTGCGAGATGATATACAGACGATCGGAAAGATACTACTGTACCTCTTGAGAGATTCTCTCGGGTATTTATACATATTGAATCTCCTTACTTAAAATTCTTTCTGAGTATTCGGGAATATTTCCACTCGAAATACAGCACTCTAAAGATTATGGAAATCAAACAAGTCGATCTCTATGTGTGGGAATAAATGTATAATAAGATATTATACTTCCATTCATTGTTGAAGAAGCTAGTTTCTAGCTTTCTTTGCTATAAATAAATACTGATCCGATATAAAAATATATAAAGGAACAGACTATAATACAAATTCGTGAATTTTTTAATAATATAAATATTATAATTACATTTCTATCTTAAGTTTATTAAAGCGAATATTTTATTATATTTATATCTAATAACATAAATATAATGATATAATACAATTTTAATTTTAATATAAATATATATAATATTTATATCAATCGTATTCACATAAAATTAAACATTTACTATAATATTATATAGAAACATTTATACTAATTTCGTTATTTTATTTGTAGCAGCTTTTTATTTTTTAAATTCTTATTTTTCCTTGGTTTTAAGACTATCTTTTTATCAACCAGGATGGCTTTTTGTTTAATAACTTCCTTGGAATGTCTAACTTTGCTTTTCTTAACTGTTTTTAATTCACAATCTGCTTTGCGTTTCTTTATATTTGTCTCAGTTGTGATTTCAGTAGAAGGCAAATTAGGGCATTCTTTCCTAGTATGACCTATAAATAAATTAATATAATATTAATAGAAGCAATAATTGGAAGTCTTAGAAGTGGTCACTGATGTTTACCTAATTTATCACAGTTGAAACATCTTCCTACAATATTCGGTATTGAACCACATGTGTGTTTCTCTAACATACATCTTTTGCAAATTCGGCAATGTTTCCAAGTAGGTTTTACACATCGTTTACATATATTGCAGTGCTTGTACGTTCGACCATCTTTAGAAGTACATTCTTTACACTTCTTGCAATGCTTGTTTTCACTAGAAACCCACTTTGCGCAATCTTGACAAAATTTATATCCATCAGATAAAGGAAGTTCCAATAGATTTAACGGTACATTCGTGAAAATTCTTACTGGAGAACCTTGCTTTCTACCATATTTTTCTGATATAAATAAGGGATGATTATCATAATCCACTTTATAATCAGACATTTTTAAATCTCTTAAGCCACCAGTGACATGTGGTGGATTGCTTTTTTCTCTCATTATGTGCTCCATAAAATATGGAAATATAAACATGATTTTCAAGAAAGAATTGTCATTACAAACATGTTTATTCAATTTTGTATGCAGGTCAAATATCGTTTTTATCGTGAACGATATGGGTTCCAAACGGCCACCAAACGGAGGATCGCATATTAAGTAAGTGTCCTTTCCTTCATTTTGAGTAAGCAAATCTTTGAAAACATTAATGGCATTTTTGTTAAAAAAATGATGATTAAAAAGATTGTACCAGCAATAATCCAGCGGTCCAAAAAAGTTATGCTAGAATGTAAAAAATATATTTAGTAAAATATATGTATACTTATAAAAATTATTAAAGTATATTACAAATTGACATAATGGTTTTTGCTAAAATACTCACAAATCTTCCATCAAAATCCAAAAGGAGAGAAGATATTTTATCTGTATAATGCTCGATTATATATTCATGTATTCTTGGTGTGCCAATACAAAGGATCTGCTTAGCTCCAAGTTTCAAAAGCATATTTATTATATCCTCTGTAGATTTCTTAGAAAATAAATATTGCGCTTCCTTCTTCGCATTTTCTAAAGGTCTTAAAAGTTCTGTTGGATGATGCATCTGATAATCAGTTAAATTCTCTGTAATGTCATGATCCATATGCTTGTCTTTTTCAGAATTAAATATTAATTTCTCACAATTGTGACAATAATTCCTTTTCGCCACAGATTCTATCTTAAGTTTATTAAAGCGAATATATAATTCTTGATGAACATAACGCTGAGCGAACTTTTTATTTTCCAGCTCCCACATATGCTTTTGAGATTTTGACAGTTCTTGTCCATATTTTAAATAAAATCTGCATAACTTTCTGTCACGGCAAGCAGAACATGCATAAAATTTCTTGACTCCCTCTTCGACATATTTTTCAAATAGTAATGTCGGTCCTGCAGAAAAAGGTTAATTTGTTTCTCAAAAGAATCGATTTTTTTTACATAAATATAATAAACTTTATGTATAACATGAAAAAATTACCATGAGGACATTGTGGATAATTTATGGGATTTCCCCACAAACATTCTACACCACGTGCGTCGTTCATAATTTTGTCATGTAAACAATTCACAGATGAGTTTAGGTTCTATCAGACTCTATACATATATTAGATGGTAAATTAGGAATCGCGACAATTCACGACAATTTTTATCGCTTGAGTCATGCCATTTGGCGCCAAATATGATTACCTGATTTTAAGCAGGGTGGCGTCTATTATATTTCAAGATTATATTTGCATATTTTATGTATTGTTTAAACGTTAGGCTTACATGAATTTTATTCATGTAGACGATATAAGCAATGTAAAATATACAAATTGTTACGAACTAAAAGGAAAAAGTATTATTAACCTACATTCACATCTCGGAAATGGAACTTCTTAGAATATTTTAATTAATAAAATTATAAATTACAATTGAAATATTTTAAGCAACTTCAACGATTGGTTTATTTTTAAAAAAATTTGGAAGATGCAAACTAAAGAAACTAATTCACAAGTCAAAAATGTGTTTTATTATGATTTGTTCTACAAGTGCTGTGACTGTTTGTCGTTTGGTGTATGCGAATTTTCTTATTATTACAATTTCTGGAAACACAATAGCAGATATACATATAAGGGGCATGTCAAGCCTCTATAATTTTTACGTATGATTTTGTACGACCAATATACATACAAATTTTCATTTCGCAAAAAATAGGTGAATTAAAAATTTATATCATACATATACATAATATACATACGTATGTAATAATATTTTATCTGAAGCTCAAAGAAAAGATCAAAAAATATTTTTTTTACAAAGAGAATAATTTTTTTTCAATTGTTTATTTTAGGTATTCGCGCAGTCTAATTTCGTGTTAAATTTTCGCCAATTCACCTATTTTTTGCACATCATTCGTAATACTGCGCAGCTAAATGCAATAGCACACATCACACAGGTTTGATAATAAATTTGCATTGGACCTTACATTGCATTCATTGAACAAAATTTAAATTTAAGACTTCCTTAAAGTAATTCTTTTTTAAATTGACAGTAGAGCAAGCAAATATGTATAACAAGAGCTTGCCTTAATCAAACTAAAATTAAAATCCTTCAAGAAAGAGAATACGTATCTGAAAACAGCCTAATTTTATTCTTATCCTAAAGCGTTGCAAATATCTTTTAGAATGCACGCTTTCAATAAACTCTGCTCGTAAATTTAATCCCTAGTAGCACAATCTATTAGCGATATATTGGTTAAACATTAGCATGCATTTAGGATATATATTGGGCCAATATTGCGCCAACAAATTGTGCTAGGGATCTGTATGCATTCTGTAAAATTGTATCACAGACTATTGCTAAGAGTAAAAAAAATATTCGCTAAAAATACGAGCTTAGAATTGCTATAAATGTCAATATGTTTCCAAAGCGTTTTCAACGGGGAATGGAAACTATCGAAATGAGATAGATTATTTACATTAGTGGGCAATGTAAAGTCATGTGTTATAGTTCCCTATAATAAATATAAGATTTATGTAATATTTTTGCGATCCTCCTATCACTGATTTACATTTAGATGAAGGAGAGTGTATTCTGCAATTTTATAAGCATATACTCGATATAATATTGCATTGCTGGCTCTTGAAATACTTTTATAGTAAGTTTGTAACATCTGTTAAAGCATCTAAAATTATTAACATTAATACAAATGTGATTTCAATACATGAACTTATTACTCAATTCTGCTCTCTGTTGCATAATTAAATTATATCACGATTATAATCTTGTAACCAGATTTAAAAATTTATAACTTAATCAATTTTTTTATTTAACGAAAGCCTTTAATTTTTTTCTATTTATATATTTTTTAATAACTCTAAAACAATTACATATTTATATTATCTAAAAAAATTCTAACACATATTTCTCAAAAAGCTAACAAGGATAGAATGTCATGTATCTTTCTGCGTTTGGTAACCATATATCTCAAACTCATATCACTAACTCCATACACACATTATATATATAGATTTTACTAAATTGTATTTAAATAATTCTCTGTATTTACATAATTGACTATGAAGCTTCTCTTTCTGACTTTTCATACAAATAAATCGTCTCATCTGCATTTTATGTTACTCATTTCATGTATTTCAATTTAAAAAAACATCTATGAACAAATAACATATATCTGCTTAAGAAAATAAAATCTTAATATTATATATTATAAGACTTAATGATACAATAAGAATAAAATATTTAATACTGTTACAAAATGTTTACATATCAACAGCTTTTTATTATAGATTGATCACAAGTTAAATAAATTAGTTTCAGAAAGATGCTATTAAAAATATAAAAGTATACACTAAAAATTTAGTAATGTAAATATGTATAGTAAATTTTATACACATATTAGCTTAAGAAAAATTCTAAAAAACAGCATGATTTTATAATACAGAAATTCTTTAATTCATTTGTTAATTATTTTTTATACTTAATATTTATTAATTTATCAAATCAATTAATTATGAATAAATATTGACCACATTGTACTCTGTGTTACATAGTCGCAGTTTTGTCATAATAGAAAAGAGTTTTCTTTCCTACAGTGAATTGTTTCGTTCGTTAATTGTTTCACATCACAATGTTATTTTGTGAAGTGTGAAAATATGTGAAAATAGGTGCAGTGAGATCGATTTATAAGATTTTCTACAAAACGTGATCAAAATTCGCCACTTTCTACGTGATATTTTTTTATATTAAATTACACGATCAATATATAACAAAACTGTTTATAATACAACGCTTAATACCTTATTTCTTTTTTTTTTTTCAGAGTGTGTGAAAGCATTTGTATTGCTCTAACGTATTCGTTCTCAAATTATTCGTAAATATCAATAATGTATATTCGTAAATATATTGACTGTTGTATTCGCATGAATATTATTGATATTTAAGAATATATAATCCATCATAAGCTCTAAATTGATATTTAATGATGAATCGCGTTCAAAAAGCTAGTTATTCGGGTAAAGAGTTTATAAAGCAATAAGTTTAGATTGACAAGAGGCCCATCTTTCCTGAAGTTTTTGGCGCTCCTCCAAATGGTGTTCCGACAAATTTCGCATTACTTGGCCTGTCTTTAATTTTCTAGGGTCTAAATTAGCTCCTAACGTTTGAACACCTTTTGCAAATTTGGAGAACGGCAACAAAATATCTTTGGCTGTAGATGCTACAGGACTAGTAACGCTCGCGATATTTTCCTTTATGGATTTTAAGGCAGATTCGCTTTGGGACGATGTAATGTTCAACGTCAAATCCTGTTCCGAGGCTGATCTTTTCTTTTCATCCAATCTATTATCCGTTTGAAGAGTAGTGCTCTTAACACCAATCGATGCTTTATTATCAACATCCCCTGTCGAATGACTAATATTCTTGGTAAGCGATAAGCTTGATAGTGGAATCATGCGATCTCTTTCCTCGCCTATATTATCTCCTGTATCGTATACTGTTATCTCTGGCGTCGTTGCCGTAGTCTTCTGCGGTGAAGTGCTGAGAGTACTAGTACCGGATCCAGTTTGCGGAATCAGATGTAATGCATCAATGGCTACATCAGGTTTTGAATTTAAATTCATATTGTTAGGTCTCATCTTCTTGGAAACTTCCTCGTTTACATTAGAATCGCAAACACTACCATCCACAACATTGGTATTTTTCACACCCATAATAATACCAATCAATGGTGTATAAGCTTCCATCAAATGCTTGTCATGACTGAAGTTCTCTGGCTTCTCGACATGTATGTGTGTCATTTCGATATTCTCGCTGCTACTGCTGCTGCTACTACTGTTACTCTTCTCTTCTGCATTGCCTGAGATATTGCTGTTACCAACTGTAAAAATCGGCTTAGATACCTTCTCCGTCGGTCTATTACTTATATTCTTCGCTAAATCAATTGGCTTCTTTGCACTGAAACTCTGACTCAGTTTATTCAATTTGCTAAATTGCTCCGACATATTGCTTAAAGCTTTTGTACCTAGAAATATTCATTTTTATAAATATTTTATTATATGTCTAAATAATGAAAGCAATTTCATTATTATACATTTCATTATTATATATAATAACAAACCTGCTGTTTTTAAAGCAAGTAACTGTGTCTCAGATACATTTCTTGTCAGTTCCGGAAGCGATGAAATGTCCAATAATCCAGTAGAACCTTTAACATTCACTAATTTACTCTTTCTTTTATCTAACGTAACGTTCATAGCTACGGGAACTTTTGGTAAGTTTGCTATCTCCATGGCTATTGAGATAGCTTCACAAATTGCTTTCAAAGATTCTGTAATTTAAAAATATAAAGTATAAAATTTCAGATTTGCCATAGATAAAAATAAAGGATATGTTCTCTCACCAATGCTTTCCTCTTCAGTTTTGATCACAACCGCCATATTATTGAAAAATCTTAAATTTGTACTACGAAACATATGAAAGTAACCGTAATCGCCGTTTACTTTATAATTAATTCTAATACAGTAGTAATGTTTATTCTTGAAAAATGAGACCATGTTTTCAGGTTGACCAAATTCAATTAAAACAATATCATCTAATAAAACTTTTTGATAGTTCGTAACTTTATCGATTTGATCATCATAATCAGCAATGTAATAACTATCTCGAGTCAATATTAAAATAGTGTCCATTTCCGTCTCGGTTGGATCACCAGTACTGAAATAAAAAAAAATTGATTGAAATAAATTCATAAACAAACACAATGTAAATGTATTATGGGAAACAATTTATTATTTATACGTACATAGGATCAGCATCAATAACTCCCCAACTGCCTAGAATAACTTCTGGATCAGGTATCAGTAATTTTTTGCAATCTTCAATCAGTAATTTCACGTGAATCGCAGTTGCCGCGTTATCTTCCTCGTCCGTACGTTCTAAAAATACTTCTTCGCTTACTGAATTTCCCAACATCATATCAATCGTCGCTTGTCTGTACACATCCTTGAAACGATTTAAGTAATATCTGCAAGAATATTTTAATTCTCAATGCATAACGAGTACGCTGAAAGTTAAAAACGATTCAGAGACAGAGTATCAAGAAAATATTTCGAAGAGTGTTTAATAAATTATATTCTATATAAAAGAAATTGTTTAAATGAGAGAAAGCGACTTTTTTATATCTAATTTATTGATTATATTAACTATAGCATTTACAAAAATGATTGGTTTATGAATCAAATTAAAATCTTGTAATAAAGGAAGAATATAAGGTCAAAATTAAACATGCAGAAGGATTTTCATAACAAAAAAACAACTCATGCTGACAATAGCACAAAACATTTCTTTTTACGCCACATGATTTAATATATAATAAAAAATAACAAATTAAATTAATTTTAGAAAAATGTAACTGCTGTATATTTTCCAAAAATTAAGCTAAAAGCAAGCAACGAACCTTGCTAAATTATATAGAGCAGTGGCATAAAGGAAGTCAGGATGAGTAGCAAGTTGAAGTTGTATATTTGGTGGTTTCATAGGTATAAGTTCAAGACAGCAATTATCAAGGATATCTAAATAGTGTAACCAATCGTTGTTCAGTTGGTGAACATCAATCGAGTTCCCTAGCAGCGTATCTATTGCCGCCTGACGTAAGTCATCCATAAAGTGTTGTTGATAGTATCTATAGGAAAATGAAAGGACAATGTCAGGGTTCCACAGAGAATAACATTGAGACATCTAACTCTGGGATATTATCTTCCGCGGCATAATAACTGTGAAGGTTCTGTGTCATGTGAGATATTGGAAATAAAAAAAGGAAAAATGAAAAATGAGAAAAATTAAGCAAATACAAAATGTGAAGGATAGGAATACGAAGCTCTACCTGTTTGCGGAATTCATGCCGTCTTTCATCAGCCCAGTAAATTTTCTTTCCCCAGTACGTGTATAATCTCCCTATAAAAATAGTAAAAAATCATAGATCATTTAAAAATCATTTGGAACAAAATTAACGGTTTATATTAAGACAGACTTTGCACGGGCAATTTGTGAGATGTACAGACCTTTAAAGCATTTGTTCCTGCATATTGCTTGCTAATAATGTCTCCATTATTAGCCCAAAGCGATTGGAAAGTCTGTCTTATATTTGCAGGCAGAATTCCGTCAGGTGGTATTAGTCCCAGTTTTGAAAACTGCATTTCCATAACAGCTTTACCCAGAGCGGTTTGCACCACGTTTGTTCTATCTAAGCAATCTATGCAATTTACACGGAACACGCCCTTTTGCACGCAAATCGTACCTTGTTTATCGCGCCAGCAGTAACCCATATTTGCTAGCATCGTAGCCAATGCATTAACCAGAATAGACACATTTTCAAAATGCATTCCTCGACTGCGTTTAAACACAAAATTTTAAAGATAAACGTCGTAATAAGTATGAGAAGCATGAGTTTAAGCAATTCACTTAGCTACTTACCAATATTCATGAAAATCGAAAATGGTGTATGTTATATCTGAATGATTATAATTAAATACATGATTACTATAAGCTTCCCAAATAATCCTTTCTTTACCAGTCTGTTCGACTAGATTAACAATACAAATAGGCCCATAAAACGCAAGTTCTTCACCAAAATGCTTTTCAAATGCTATCTGCGTTTCAGCCTCATCTGCAATATCATTGTACAAGATTATTACGTTACAAATAAAAATAATCTAATCTAGTTTAAAGGTAAAAGATATCTCTTTACTTATACCTTTATCAATCCGTGGTGGAGGTTTATATTTATACCCAGGTTGAGACCAATATACTGGCACACTTCCTCGTACTTGTACAAAAGATACTTGATGATCATGATACCAAACTAATTGTTCAGTCTCAACATAATTTGCACACTTGCCATCATCATCCACTCCACGTCTCTTGTATCTGTGTAATGTTATACATATTTAGAAATACTTTTTTAATCCTAATATTTAATATATCGTACGATAAAACTTATAATTATGACAATCTAATTACAAAAATTATCTATGTAAATAAAAATTACCTAGTTCCAGCACGGAATCTACTCCTTCTCGATATAATCGCCAAATTAAATATCTCTTGTTGCGGTTGCTCGTCAAAACCTACCTCGACTATGCATTTTTCTATTTGAACATATCCTTGAATGATCGGTAATATCCAACAGTTTGCTTTATCTGTCTGCAGAATAAGACAAGTATTATAAAAAAATGAGAATTTTGAATTAGTTATTGGATGCACAGTCGTTATACAGCTGACTTCAAAATACCCGCTTATCAATACCCACTTATTAAGCAAATAAAAAGATAAATTTTATGTATCTACTATTATATACAGATAGTATAATTATACAACAATGTTATAGAATATTTATTTGGGCAAATATAATGTCTTATTGTTTAGAGCCAGCTGTATATAAAAATAAAGACTTTTTTAATTACGAACATTTAGATTAATAATGTCATGTAACATATGTTTGTTCCAGAAAAATCTGTCGTCTACACGTTGCCATAATGGCTTATCTTGATTGCCTTGTCCATGCTGAGATTCCATTATGCATTGTCGCTGCAAACTATTAGTAATATCACCAGTCTGACAAAAGAAAAATGAATCAGTTTCGGTAAATATCTTATTCAGTTCTTCCAAAATTCTCTTTTCAAATCTGTCTTTATCTTTTACTATGCTGCGTTTGATCACTGTGGATTTCATCTGTATAGAAAATATATTGAGTTTGTAAATTGTGTAAGACACCAAATATGAATTCATGAATGCCAACAGTTTTAGGTTCCTTACTTGAGATGTAGCCAATGCGGCAGCATGCTGTGTAGTATTTTTTATAGTATTTGTGGCATTCTTGATTGTACCCCAGGTTTTCGCTAAAGCTGCTTTCTGTGGCACATCAAATAGTCCACTGCTTCCTTTCTTCTTCAATACATATTGATGTTTCTTACAAGGTAGTAAACCGATATCCATATTCTCCGTGCCAATATGTAGAAATGCGATTGATTTAATTTTGTAAACAACGTGACCGCCATGTAATTCTCCAGCTGGTGTGATATCCTTTATGAGCATCAAGCGAGGTTCCAATACTGATGTCTGTTCAATTTTTCCGACTATTCCATAAAACATCCCCAGACATTCTAAATCTTTCGGCGTGGCCCATTCCCAATCTGTAAAATCCATCATCAAAATCATCATTTCTATCAAAATAATTAAATGTCACTATCAAATCCCACATATATAACATTTCTTTATCAATTATCAGGAATGCTATATCATCTATAAATCTTTATACAGACATAATGTACATACTCCCACTTGAAATTGATTAGCGTCCTCAAAACGTGACGTTGAGATCGCTTTTCGTATATGACGCTTTGTCTCCACTTACTTTATGTCAAATGCAATTGTACACACACCCACCTGATTTTGCGGCGAATTCACCGGTATACTTGTCACACCAGAGGCTATGCCTCTCTTTCACAAAGATAAAATGAGTGTCAGTGCGGAACAGCTCCATCCTTCTGTTTTCTTGCGAGTTTGACAGCTACAGGCAGCATGTGTGACGTTTCCGCGTCGAGCAAAATATCCGCTTACCACCGAGCGCTCGCCATGTTGCTCATGACTAAACGCTCAGCCGTGCTCATTATGTTCTTCGATGTTAAAAGGCACCGACAAGCGGGGGAGGAAAGGTTACAACGTAAATCAATCCCATTATTCCTCAATGGGCATGCCGAGACAGCTAGTCGCTCGATATTCCGATGAAGTTTTCCCGATTTGTTTGATTAGAGTCGTTCTTGACCTGATCGGTAGCATATGAATAATTGAGGCGGGATCTCGTAATGTTCTTTTTTTACATTCATTAATTTATTATTAAGTAGGTTTTTTTTTACCACATTACTTTCAGAGAGAAGGATGAATGCCTTGGATGAATTTATTATCTAGAGATTTTTTATCTTAATAAATAATCATCACTTAAAATATTTAATGTACTAATGTTTACTTCAATCACAATATACGCATGTATAATAAATTAATTTTGAAATATAAAAGAGCGAATTTTAAATGTCTCTTTGAAATATAATTTCTTATGAATATTAAGATACTACTCTATATAACTATTTCAGAGATATTTTTACAGCAATTTTATTAAAATTATACATCTCTTTCTTTTACTTAAGATGCGCAATCATGCTGGCATTCAACGCTCATTTTTAGCTTTAAAATAGGTCACGTGGTCCAAATTGAATGTAAAGTATCAATTTTAATCATGTGATCTATTTTAACCTTAAAAATGAGCTTCAAGCGTAAACATAAAAAAGTGCTTTTACAGAAACAAAAAATATAATTACGTACATATTTATAAAAATAAGAATTTAATAAAATAAAATAAACGTATTTAAGCAAAAAAAATTTATTTGTATCTTTTTTAAAAAATCTCTAAAAAAATTTAAGAGAAAATAAATGGTAAATATATTTTGAATACATTTATCATGTTTAGTAGATATAAATCTAAAATTTTAAAGGTAGACAAAATTAAAAATCGAATTGTTGGATAAATTAGCTTTATTATACAATATTATATGAACTTTTCATCTCATATTTTACATCCTTCTGTAATGCTTTAAATTGGTATGAAAAATGTGGAAATAGTATCTTATTTAAATAGTTCAAAAATCGTTCAATTCCCTAAACAAAGTCGCCAACTAGCATTTAATTATAAAATAGATATTGCATTTACATAATCAGTGCATTACGTATTAATGATTGAAATACGCTGCATGAAACCCATGTAGGTGTAAACTGTGTGAACAATTGTTTCCTTGTCGTGTTGAATAAGATTAAAAGTTCGCCAACTCATACGCGTGACGCAAAGTGTATATAACAAACTCTACATGTAGAGAATTTTGCAAACGTGATGCACAGCATTGAATTCACCCAAATACGTTATATTATTGCATCTCTCGTGTTGACCACTCCGTGTCTTTTATTTAAATCGCTATACATGTGTATACACAACCAATGATTACAAATACATAGAATAAGAAAAATGTGAAAATACGTATGTTTTCAAAAAAATTGCTACATAGATCTGTTCGTGTTGCTTAAAACCTCTAAAAATTTTTGCATTAAAACGAAATAAATATATATTCGGATATTGAAAGCAAAGATTCTAAGTGCAAAAAATCCAACAATACGAACAGACCTAGACATCACGTGTCATTTTCTTGCAATGAAAGGAAACTGACTCTTAAGTTAATCGTCATTCTATCCAACGTAGGACAGTCTTGTCACTTTCAGTCATGATTTTAAAATATCCGACAAATGCATTTTCTTCGTGCATTCACTTCATCATATACAATCTTGAAATCACTCTGTATTTCTCCTATCAATCAATAGTCTCTTTTATCAATCAACTGGTCATAGTGGCATGAAGAACAATAAGTTTCGCCAAAATTTATTGTTTATCATTGCTGCTGGTCTGTTCACTGCTGTGATCATTCTTTTTCGGTTTGTATTCTTCCCATTTTCTATGATTAAGGATTTGAAAGTCCTCAACATCGGCTATCAATTCCAAATATCTTGATAGTTTCAGCAATTCAAAGTCTTTGACTCTGCTGGTATGAGCGTGTTTGAAAGGTTTTATTCTCAATCCTGACTGCGGATTCATTATGAAGTTTCGTCTGATATCGTCAAACATTATTGTATTTTTCGCAGAGAACTGCTTGTACTTCCCCCAAATAATACCCAGTGGCTTTACTCCAACGACCCCATATTTCGGTGTATGAACAGTGATCATGGCAAGGACGTCCAGATGAAAAGCTATTTTATAGTTTGGATGATTTGAAACTCCCAAAAGTTTCATTTTCTCGTTGATCCATCTCATGCTAGTCGCTGACCAGATGACTATATCATAATTTTTATAAGCGCGTGTCAAGAATTCATGGAGATACGGACGCATTAGCTGTGCTCCGCTCTCTGCCACTGACCTGTGATCAAATAAAGTGTAATCTATGTCTAGTACAAGAAGCTTCTTACCATTTCTTAAAGGATTCAGCTCTGTGATTACATAGCGATCGATTCGTATCTGGATTTTACGTAGATTTATTTCAGCCTTCTCAATCTCTACTTCCTCCTCTTCTATATCTAGATCATTTATTACATCAGGTACATCTTCAGGTGCTTGACTGACCTCAGCAATATCCTCCTCGCGCGAACCCATTAACATTAGTTTGAAGCCAGGCTTCAAATTTAATTTGCCAATTATGTCCTCATCTTGTGCTGCCTTGCCTAACAAAGAACAAGTTTCTAAATATTTTTTTAAAAACTTTGTGTATTTAGATTAACTATATCTATTACAAATTTTTTATTACTAATTTTTCACACTAATAAAAACAATCCAAGTATAAAAGAATTACTAGTTCATATATTCTATATGTCAATAATTTTTTTACTTTCATGTATAGGAAAGCAAAATTATTTTAAGGATTATAAATAGTGTTTATAATTTATATATATGGTCTTCTTTAATATATTACTCATAATATATATGTATATGCAATATATAAAATATAAGTTAAATAATTATAATTGATATATACTGGATAATAATAATTAATAGCTAGATACGTAGTTGTATTTCTTTCAAGACGATAAACTCTAAAATAAATTATTATAATTACAATAATGACTATATTTATTTGACAGAACTTATCAAAGAAAAAAAAATAGTTCAAAATATAACCTTTAAACTTTAAATTTAGCAGTTTTTGACGTTCTGGACGAACACCTGTTTCTCTGTGTATACGCTCTTTCAGAGTAAGAACCGTATCTTCCTCTTGAATATCGAGGATATCGTATTCTTTTCCGCTCCATTTCACTACAATTCTTAATTCACCCTCCATTCTCACTCTTTCAATCGCATCAATGGAACGCGTGCATTGCGATTCTAAAAAAGAAACGTCCAGATGCTCCAGATATATACTTGTGACTGTGTTATCGGTAATGCCGGATTTGATTTGAAATTATATCTTTAATGAACAGTTGACTAAAAATATCTAGTAAATATATTTTTTAATAAAATAATAAAATAGCAAAACGTATAGTAGAATAGCGAAATAGTAAAAAAAATTGTTTTTTTAATTCCATGTTATTGCTGGTAAGCGCGCATGCATCATTATCGACCTTATCGATCTTGCGGATAAATCAGGTCTACAGACAAGATAGCAAACAAATTGAATATTTTTGATTTATTTATGTCTATATAATTTGGGAATCGTTTGGGGAAAGGGAAAAGCATTTAAACATTCGGGTAATAATATTTTTCTTGAGAAATTTTCTTTTGCCTGGTCTTTCTGCCTGGTCTTTCTTCAGATACTCTTGTTTCATTTGATGGTATTCTGAAATGTATTCACAAATAATTAAAACATATACAGGGTGTCCCAATCTTTTTTGCCAATCACTTTTGTGTAGATAGAGTAGACTGAACTGAGTCGAAAAGTACGTCCTCTACCATTTTGCAATTTTTCCAGCGAGAAATGATTTATCGAAATGATAGCAAATCGACATCGAAAACATGTTTCAAAAACTGATCGAAATATTCATCGATTTCGATGAATTCGTGGTACTCGATTCGATAAATTTTTGATGCTCAGAATGATTCGATTTCGATGAATTTTCGACGTTCAAAACGATTTAATTACGATGAATTTTCGATGCTTCCTATGAGTCAATTTCGATGCATTGTCGACTTAAAACGAGAATATTTATGATATAGTATCGTGATATTCTTTAAGAACAGAAAATTAAGTAACGCATTACTTTTTAAAATTGGTAACGATAATAAGTTACTTTTTTCAAAAAGTAACGATAATGCGTTACTTTTTTGGAGGTAACGCGCACAACCCTGACATATATAAATACGTATAAACATATATATAATGTATTTTATATACAAATTAAGTATGCCTATATATATGACAATACATCTTTCCTTCTTTTATAAAACTACACTGTTTCGTATAATAAAAATAATAATAATCAGAAAACGTAGAAAATAATTAAGAGAGTAATTTTCTCATTGTTTCTTTTAGAAAAATTCAAGTTTGGAGAAATATAAAAAAATGCTCACGTATATATAAATATGTGTATGAATATGTGCCATATAATGATTATTTTCAGTCATTTTATAATTAACTGTATTTTAATTTGTATAAACAAATACAAATCTTGAAACAAAATTAATAAAAATAAAATTATCATATTATTAATTATTATGTTTTATACAAAAAAAAAAATATATTTTATACGATAATTTCAGATGCTCGCAACTCGCTGACTAGCGTAAAGACACGCGTGTCAGCAAGTCAAAAAGCAAAACAAAAAGAGAACCAGTTAATAAAGAACCTTGTGTTAAGAGTACCTGCAAACTGAAAAAAATATATATATCAATCAAAAATAGCATTTTAATGCAAAGTATGTGATAAATATATTTTTAAAATGAAACCGCTATCCAAAAGC